TCGATCGCGGCGATGAATAGGAGGATGAAACAGAGGCCGACGTCGCCGAGTGTGATGAGTGTCCTCAGCAACGACATCCGACCCGAGACCCACCTCCAGCTCTTCAGGACCCATGCCGTCCATGTCAACACCATCACGACGCTCGAGATTTGCCTGGGCAACGGACTTTTGTTATCCCGATATGTCAGCCACACGCTCCACGACTTTTTGTGCTCGTCTCCGTGGCTGCAGCATTTGATTGCGCCCATGATCCCCTATTACGCCGAGTATCTGGACCTCGAAGGGCCAGTCGACCCTGTCTCTGAATCGTACCATCCAAGGAAATGTCGACCGGGCAAGCAACCGATGGACTTGTTTCGGACCCGCAAGCGGATTTGGGCGTGTCGGGGGCTCAAGACACTGCGGATCCAGTTCGAGTCGATGGAGGGCGACTATGCCAGCGAGGAGAACGCAAGGATCATGTTTGGATACTTGGTCAGGGTCTGTCCGGACCTGCGGGAATTATCCATCCGAAGGCGCCAACTGAATTTGAAGCTGGACGGCGGGCTGTGTCTGTTGACGAGGCTGCGGAAGCTGGAGCGGTTGATGATCTGGACAGACACCTGGACAAAGCTCTCGAAGAAGGATCTCGAGTGGATGGCCCGACACCCTCACCACAAAAAGAGCATGGAGCAGTGGTTTGGGTTGGGTACCGGAACCAGCAGGTCTTACAAGCGAGCGGAGGAGTATCGTAACCAGGACAGTCGTGGCAAGGCCAGTAGTAGCACAGGAATGGCTGTTCGTAAAACCAGCTGGGCATCGACATCGTCCTCATCCAGCAATGGCAGTCGAACAGATGCTCAGAATGGAGGAGGGAGTCGTGCAGGAGACGACAAGGACACATGGAACGATCTTGGATCATCGTTGACACTCGACGATATGATGGATGTGGGAACGATGGCGGACATTGAAGCGTGGCAGAGGGAGCAGACATGGCTGCAGAGGCGGAGGTCTGGCAGCCGTCGGTCGGGTCAATTGATCAGCAGCAGGCAACAACAAAGCAAGGAACGATACGCTGAGCAGGAGGAAGACGAGGGACTGTGTTGGCCCAAGCTCGAGTTCCTTGGTCTGCAGCTGGTGTTTGTGCAAAAGGACCAGCCTGTGAAGCTGGAGGAGCATTTGGTGCCGATGATGGCCAGGATCCGCCCTGAGACCGTGTTTAGCTGTGAGGCGACCCGTTGGCATGAACTGAACTAGAGCGAGGAAGGGGGAGCCGCAGTAGTAGTAGTAGTAGGCAGCACATTGAAACCATTGACCACCACTCTCACAAATAGAAAATAATAATCAATTTTGTGCCTCTTCCTCGCATTGATATTTTTGTGCCCTCGCCTCTTAAATCACTCTGCCATTCCAAGTTCCCAACACATCCATTTACCAATGCAACAATGACACTACAACAGCCACCATCGGATGAACAACAAGCCAAGGGTGGAGTGCATAAACTGCTCACAATCCCCGAACTACTCTTCGTCATTGGCAACTTTCTCCCCCAAGGCTCACTCAATGCAATGTGCCAGGTCAACAAGGACTTTCGCGTCCTCTTCACGCCGTACCTCTACGACTCTGTCACGGTCAACCTCAACGGTGAGCGGTCGCGGATCCCCGTCATCGAGACCCTCAAATCCAACTCCAAGCATATCCATCACCTCACCTTCCACTTTCCAACAACGCTAAAGTACCTCACCAACCTCGTCTGCCCAAACCTGGTCTCCTTACACTGTCGGGGGTGGAGAGGGGTCAGACTGCAGCACGATACTGCGGACAAGAACCGGGCCCAACTGCTGCTGGATCGGCTGATCCGAAACTCGAGCCAGACCCTCAGGACGATCGAGTTTGATAACTTGTGGCCGGTCAGGAAGGACGGGATCTGGAATACCATTGCGGCGTTGCCCTTGCTGAGGGACCTGTTGGTGGTCTGTCCGACTGTCCAGGAGGAGGAGTTGACAGGCGATGCGTTCTGGAGGGCATGTGCCAATACAAAGACGCTGAGGTTGGAACAGGTTGTGTGTAAAGTGTCCAGGGGGAGAGCCTTGATGCCCAGAGATGCCCAACTAGACATGGATGCCGATGTCCTTGCCAATGGCAATAGAGGGGAGGAAGAAGAGGAGGAGGCTATATTATCGAGACCGACGACGAGAGCAACAAAAACCGCAGCAGGAGGTCGACCGTTTAGTTTCTCACGCGTCCAACACTTGGAGCTGATCGTTCCCTTCTACTATGGACTGGAACCACAGGACCAGCTGTCCCTGATCCGATACTGCCACAACATCAAGTCGCTTCACTGGAGTAACGTCCCCGACAGCTTCCAGGCAGACGTCGGTGAGAACGAGCATATTCAGGCACCACACTCGGACGCGCCCCAAGAACCCTTCATCTGGAAGGACTTGGAGTCCCTCCAACTGGGCGGCACAGGTGCCATCGACGAGAACCTGGCAACCATGATCCAATGGGTATTCCGTCTCTCAGTCCTAGCTGTGCCCAACACTCGGTTCGGGCCGATCGCTCTGGCGTCATTGAGGAGCCACTATGCGACAATTCAGGAGCTAGACTGGCACGGATGTGAGCTTGCTTCCGGATCCATGACGCAGACGATCTTGGCCTCCTGTCCGTCCCTCAAGTCCTTCAAGGCACAGGAGCTCCTGATTGAGTACGGCATTGATGAGCCCTGGAAGTGCTTTGAGCTGAAGACTTTTGAGGTCGACGATGTGAAGGCGCGGTCTGATCTGGAGAACAAGGCTCCGTTGGATGAGGCGGCAAAGAAAAAAGTGGTAGCAAAGATCCACCAACTGCAACAACTCCAGGACAAGTGCCGTATACCCCTTCTAGAACAAATCAACAAATTACCTTACTAAATAAATACAACTGATACCCCGCTAGATATTTTTTATTTGATACATCAGGAAAGATAAGACACGTACGCTAATCACGACTGAACATGCCAGCCAAAGGAGGCACAGGCCTGCTGGAGCTTAACTTGCCGCTCGGGGTTCGGGTGCAGATGCTTTGAAATGTTTTCGAGTCGACCCCAGTGCACTCTCATCCACTCCAAGTCTTCCATCCCCAGCACCTGGACCTTGACAAAGTACAAACTTGTCAACTGGCTCAGCTCGCCAAGCAGCTCAAGTCCATGTCGAATGTCCAGATCAAGCTGGCAGGATATCCACCGAGGAGACTGATCTGGGCGCAAGTTCAACACCCTCAACTGATGCAGCCGACCCAGCTGGCGAAAGACCGCCCTCTGTCGCATGTCACTCGGTCGTAGTCTATTTGCGGGAATCCCGGAGCTTTCAGGCTCGTCCTGAGGAGAGGCATCAGCCGTTGGTTGTTGTTGTCCTACTTCTGTCACAACTGTACTTCCAGCAGCTGCAGCTGCACCCGTCGAGTCCTCTGTCGCGATATTCTCCCGAGAACCGGGTGGACCATTTGATTTCTGCTTGTTCTTGTCGCTGCCGCTAGTCTTTGACTCATCTGGACCCAGGTCGATCTCGATTTTGAGCTGCCGCAGTCCTGTGCAAGCCCAATCTTGCCCATTAGCAACATCGACCGCCAGTAGAATGTCAGCCGTAAGACTCTCGAGTAGCGGACACAACATCAACATCCGCTGAACAATCCGACTTGTCTCCGCACTCTCTTCAACACTCGTACCGACAAGACTCAGAGTCCTGATCCGCTCAAACAACAGCCGCTTCTCGAACGCAGCCATGCTCAGGGGCCCAAAGCTGCAGTCTCGAAGACTTAGTGACACCAGCTGTGCGTCCCTGAAGGAGTCGAGAATCCGGGCCATATCATCATCCCCGAAAGCCAGACCAAGAAGCGAGAGGGAGCTCAAGTGGGGCCACGGATTCTCCAATGTGGTTTTGTAGACTTGCTCGAGAGGTAGACCCGAAGAGTAGTTTGTCAAGAAGAGCTCCTCGAGATTCGGACAGAGAGATAAGAGTTGGAGTTGAGCCGAAGGGTTAGCGGGCAAAAGTGGCGCGAAGCGGGATCGAGGCGTCCCTGGCTCAACGACACCAACAAGCCTCAACACCTTGATCGTAGGGAAGTATAGCAACTGATCCGCCTCCTGTTCGCCTTCTTTTCCGCTGCCGTTCCAGTTAGTCGCGCCCTTGCTCGTAGTGTCTGCTGCCTGTGCGGCGCTAATCCGGTTAGGAAGGTATAGGAGAGTCGCGTTGATCAACTCGAGTCGCTCAATCCTGAGTCCAACCAGCCGCACCCAAAGATTCTGATCAGAGTTGTGCTCGTTGTATCCGTTCAGGAACAAGGTCTTCAGAGACCTACACCCAGCAACGGCATCCCAGAAGTCGATGACAGTATTGTCAGAGGGTCGCGTATGGACAAGGCGAAGAGTGGTCAGGACTGGGTTCCGTCGGATGAGTTGAATAAGGGCGTTACAGGAGGCATCGTCCGCAAAGTCAACGCTGTTCCTGTCGGTTCCGCGCGAGATGGTGAGATTCGCCAAGTGACAGAGGTCAGGCGAGGCAAGGTAGTCGAGTGCCACAGTTCTGTCCTGTCCTCCTCCGTGTAGTCTCAGGTGTCGGACCCAGGAGGCGTATCGGGCAAAGTCCGGTAGTGAAGGCTGCTGGGTCAAGGCAAAGTTGAGAAGCAGGGGTGCTGACCAGAGGGAAGGAAGGAATGCCCGGTTCCAGGATTTGCAGACGCAGATGCAATTCACAAAGTCCTGTCGTGTCAAGTAAGAGTCAATGACGACCGTGATCTCTGGCAAGTCTATGAGCGAGATTCGCGATACTCGTAACGGTCTGTCTTTGTCTGTCATGGCGAAGGAAGGAAGGAACAAGGAAGGAAGGAACAACAGAACAAAGAGGCGTTATTTAACAAGGCGCGACTTTTTCAACGCTCGGGCCAGGGCGGTGTCACATGATATTGAAATTTATAATTATATATAGAATCACGTGACTAAATATCCTTTGATACAAATATGTAAGAAAATCATCGGTCGACATGCTTCCGTGGCGCAATTGGTTAGCGCGTCTGACTGTTAATCAGGAGGTTGGTGGTTCAAGCCCACCCGGGAGCGGTTCCTTTTTGTTTTTTGTTCCTGTGCCAACCGTCTTTATCAACGCATCGTAAAGCTCCCTCTTGGATACCCAGTGCTCCAACAACAAAGCAATTGATTCTTTTTTTTGGGGCACGCGGCAGCAAAATTGGTTCTGAAGGTGGAGAATACTGTAAAGGCCTGGTATTGTTTGTGAATTCCTGGTGTGGCAAAAAAGAAGCTCTTTGAAAGACTGTTGACCGCAATGTCGCACAAGGTGCTCAGAGATGAACGACTTTCTTTTTTCCGCCCCCTCATGCTTTTCTTTTGTGTCCACTTGATCCTCTTTCCTTCTTTTGTTCTTTCGTTCCTTTACTCTCCACTCCACTCCTTTTCCCTTCATCCTCCTCCTCCTCGCCCTCCTCACTCAACCTTTCCTTTTACCTCCCCGCCCCGCCAACTCCTCACCCACATTTTTCTTCAAATAATCAGCACTGAAACAAGAGAGGAGAAAAAGACGTCAAAAATGACCACCAGGAAACCAATGGTGCATATTGTAGGAGCAGGTCTGGGTGGTCTCATGCTTGCCAACCTCCTGGAGACCATGGAGGATGTCGATTATCTGGTCTTTGAGCGGTCCACTACTTTGAAACTGTACGGTATGTGCCATACCGATGTCTCGTGCATAATTTTGTTCCTTCAGGGCTTCCTATTTCATCGACGCTAATATTCTTTTTATCAATACAATAGGAGCGGGAATGGCTCTGGGACCAAACATCATAGGGGCTCTCCATCAAATCGGCTTGGGAGACGAACTGGTCAGGGTCTCGCTTCCAGTCAACACTATGGACATCTACAACGACGACCTCTCTCTTGTGGGTTCCATGTCAGGCGGCGCCACCTACCGGGAAAAGTAAAATTGCTCGCCTTTTTCTCTCTCCTTGGTCGACAAAAACTCGCCATGCACAAAGCGAGCCGACCATTAACCCCCTTCATGCATTCAAATCTTATTAGTGTGGGATACGATACACATCTGTTCAGCCGCCCGCACCTGCACAGGCTCCTTCTATTAAAGATCCCACCAGAAAAGGTCCGCTATGGGAAAAAAGTACTCTCGATTGGCCAGAGCGAGTACGGGACCCTCATCCGATGCTCGGACAAGACCTCGTACGAGGCCGATATCCTGGTCGGGGCCGATGGGGCCTACAGTGCTGTCCGGCAGAGTCTTTACGAACGATTGAAGAAGGAAAAGACGCTCCCCAAGAAGGACGGCCAATCGCTCGATGTTGGGTACACTTGCTTGGTCGGGACAACCATGCCGCTCGACCCTGAAAAGTATCCTGTTCTCAAAAAGAAGGATTCGGACTTTGCCATCGTGCTCTCTAACGATCGACCTCACTCTGTAAGGAAAGATTGTGCCCACATATTTTGTTTTCTGGCTAGCAGTGTCTGTAACAATACAATGAGACTCAGACATGCTAACTGAACCGTGTCCATCTTTCTTCCTAGTGGACATCGATTACGGTGCCTGGGAATCGCGTGTGCTGGGGTGTGAACATCCAATTGACGACCGAGGAGCGGGAAGGGGTGTTTCGAAACTCAGAGTGGGGTCCCGAGTCGATTGACCCTACGATTACCAAGGTTGCGGACCACAAGATGCCAATTGGAGGAACTCTGGGCGACTTGATCGATGCTACTCCAAAGGAGCTCATCTCCAAGGTCTATCTCGAAGAAAAGTTCTTCGAGACTTGGGTTCATGGCCGCACTGCCCTCATTGGCGATGGTAAACGACAAAAGAAAAGGAATAGGAATGTGCACTGGAATGTTTTTTTTGATGGTGTGGTGTCTTCTTGCATGGAACTAAACCGCTTTCTTGATTGTCTTGCATGTGTCTCATAGCGTGCCATAAGATGTTGCCCACAGCTGGTCAAGGTATGCACTCATGCATTCTTCCCCCTTTTCCCCACAAAGTAGACACTGCATCCACCGAGACCAACGAACTCATCTCCTCTACTTTCCTGCATTGTCTCAAATCAATGAATAGGAGCCACCAATGCAATGCAGGACGCGGTGATCTTGGCAAACTGCATCTATGAGATGGCCAGTCTCTCAAACACAGACGTCGAGGACGCCCTCAAGAGCTACAAGAAGCAGCGCTACTCTTTTGCAAAACAATCCGTTGCCAGCAGCAGCATGGCCGCAAAGGTCCTCTATGGACAGACGCGTCTTGAAAGGTTCCTTCGCAAGGTCGTTTTGAACTGGTTACCGGCCTCGTTCGAGAAGAGCGCATTGACCAAATCGGTCACCTATCGCCCCCAGGCAACATTCTTGCCCCGGATCCCTGACCGTGGGACATTCCCGGTCCTGCCCCAACCAGTGTCCAAGCGGTGGGAGAGGGAACAAAAGGAGCTTCGAGAGAATCCTCCGCTAGCACCACCAGCAGTGCAATCACCCACAGCCGAGAATAACAATAATAATAACGCAGCACCGCCTACGGCGATCTAGACCTTTTCCATATTTTTCTACAGTTAATATGCAATAATACTTTTACCATAGGGCTCCATCCTCATTTTTGCCATTGAACTATAGTGGAATGCTGCCCAGAAGTGGAAGGCACTGAGAAAGGCAGCGTATATATCTCTCTCTGGTGGAGCGGCTCTGTACCTCTCTTTTCAAAAGAAAAGAGAAAAATGCATCTTGGGAGCACAAGTAGGTAAAAGAGTAAAGAGCGATGGATGGGAGAGACAGATACAGGGGACACAGATCCGAGACATCGTTGCCAAGCAACAAGGGACAAAAAAACTCTTTTTCAAGAGGAGCAGAGGGACGGAGGGTAGGGGTACACGCGGAGTGTGGGAGCAACAGAGGGGTAAGAGGGGTGAGAAGGATGAAAGAGAGAGTGAGGAGCACATGAATGGTTTCTATCTCTACGCCCACCTTGGCATTTGGTGGGCGATTGGCATATGTTGTTGACCCGTGCATTGTTTTTATTCACCATCACACGAGTCCACAGCCTCTGTGTGATTTTTCATTTAACGCAGAAAAAAGGTGTTAGAACACACACGACCCACATGTAAGGACTCTTCTTTGCCGCAGCGGCGGATGGACCAGTCCAGTGGCAAAAGGGGGGTTCGGGGGTAGAGGTCTACTGACGGGGAATGAAGTGAACAACACTTGTGAGATGTGCTTCAGAGAGGTCCAAAAGCTGAGAGCAACGGCCAAGCAAAATGGATCGGGATCCGCCCTTCTTGACATATGCGGGTCCAGTGAGAGGAATGAAACGGCGAGTGAGAGCAAAGGGAATGGGGTCGACTTTTCATTTGTTCTTTTCCGACGATGTGTCCGTTGAGAGCAGTATTACTGGTTGTAATAATTCACTTCATCGAATGCATCGACACCATGTCATCGTTTCTATCTCAATCTCCCCGTTATTTTGTCCGTTACTGCGTCGAGTCTAGTCTAGTCTAGTCTAGTTGTTGATTTCCCCATCAAATCGAGCATTGCTGTTTGTCTCCCATGATTACTTGGTCCGACCATCCTGTACTTGCCAACAACAACAAATAAATAACAATAGCAACAGCAAACAACAAAAGGGTGAATATCCAGTTAACGATATGGAAGGGCGAGATGGAACAAGGGGAAAAAGACAAGGGGCGTGAGCGATGGATGGATATGTATCTTTTATGCTGCCTTGCCCATAAATTATTAAGAGTCCGTTTACACTGCCCACAGACAGGCAAAAAGAAGACACCACGTCGTTTTTGTTCATTTCACATTTGTGCTCACAAGTAAAAAGAAAAACGGCTGTATTTCAATTATCTCGGATGGGGTGCTGTATCTATGAAGTACGAATGAACCACCCGGCAAGGGTGTATCGCATCGCCAGAGTCATAGAGTCAAGTGAAGAGGGGAAACAAAAGCAAAGCACGCCCTGACCAGAACAGAGATCCCCCGACCGAAACCCACAGCGGATGAATAAAGTTAATTGATCTCTTCATTTCTACAGCAGTCGAGCCCCTTCTTTCCCCTTTACCCCTGTCCCTTCTCCTTCTCCCCCATAAATACTACGACCCCTTCCCCGGCAGCAGGCTGCCCCCTCCCCCCTATAATCCCGATTTCACGTTTCTTTTCTCTTCCCTCTCTTCTCTCATCTCTACTCTTTCATCATCACGCCTTACCTTTAACGACCCTTCACTCCCTACTCCTAGTAATCCCCCTTCCCTTCCTTTCATTTCAACAATGGCACCCATCCCTCGTCTGGCTGCAAAGCCCTTATCCATCATTACAGGAGCACTCTTCACCGCCTTCTCCGCACCCAGCAGCTCACCCCCAACCAACGGCGCCAATGCCACCCTCCAGGACACCCGCTACATCGGATCCGCATCCTTCCTCAACCTCACTCTCTTGCATACCCCTTCCCCTCTCTCATCCTCATCCTCATCCTCTTCTTCTTCCTCTTCATCACCATCATCAGCATCAACACCTTCTTCATCTCTTGTCTACTACCACACAAACAACAACACCTACACCGGATGCAACAAGATGCCCTTCAGCTCAACCGACAATGTCGTCCTGATGAACCCCCTCCAGTTCGGCAACGTCTCGGCCTCAAACTCGACCTGCGGTGACTGGATCCAGATCAAGAACCGTCAAAACACCTACCAGTCGACCTACGCACAGATCGTCGGTGTCTGCGACGACTGCGAGTACGGATCGATGGACCTCTCGCTCGGTGCCCTCAACGAGTTGGCGCCGGACTTGCCCTTTGGCGACTTGACCTTCAGCAACAGCTCTGATGTGTCAATCTCAGATCTGATGGACCCCGAGTCTGAGCTGTCTGTCTCCGCAGCGACTACTACTACGGTCTCGTCCGTGGATTTGATCGATATTGTCTGGTCCCTTTCCGATCCTCCCAAGAAGCCCGCCTCAACGCCAACGACAACAACGACCCCTACCTCTACCTCGACATCTACCTCAACGACCACCGCCAGCCCATCACCCTCGCCTCCCTCGCCTCCCTCGCCTCCCTCAAGCCCACAGTT